TTCCCTATCTCTGCTACCAACTGCACTCATCTCCTGGTAGCTGCCCTTATTCATGAAGGCTAAAGTAGGAAGGGTATTAAATACTTTCTTCAGGCTTCTCCACATCATCTGTAACTAGGTTGCCTTCCCTGTTCCATCAGGGACTGATGGTTTCTTTGGTCATCCTCTTCCTCTAAAATCCTCTTTATTGCCTCTCTATGTCCCTTCCCAGCTGCATCTCAAGTCATGCCTTGGCCTTTCTAATGCTCTCCCTGCATTTCTCTTCTGACCAGACTTCTACTGCTATGGGACTCCTTTCTGAGTTTCAACTCCTTGATGAGACAGCAAACTATCCTGGCAAGACTGCACTTGCACCCTTGAAAGGGCCTCCTTAAAGTGCAGCCAGTTCTCCTGCACTGTTTACCCTCAGGCTTGCCTCCTAGGGGATCTTCCCCACCAGGTTCCTGAGTTTGTTATAGGTTTTTTTTGGTTGTTTTTTGGGGGGCGGGGGGTTTGGGGGGGGCGTTGTTTGCTTTTCTGGTCCTTGTTTTGTTGCTTTCCTTTCTTTCTACCATCCTTCCTATAGGATCCTGAACTCTTGTCATCTTGGGGTTGCTGTCACCCACTTACCTTCCACCTTTTGCCTTCCCAACCAATTTCTGCCTGGATTTGAGCAGTAAATAAGTCAAAGAGGGGAAAAGATTTTCCCCATCATCTGTATTGAAAAGTTATCCCTGGCATGCTCTAGGATTTGGCTAGACTGCCTGTGCACTGCTGTGTTTCCTTCCCAACAGATGTCCCGATGTAGAGTCCCCCCCGAGAAGAACAGAGTTGTGTGGTTTGGAGGTTTCTGTCACATGTTTAAAGGAGACCACATCTGCCACCTCCTCCTAATATAAAGGCCTGTAGCAGGTGGCCACCGTGAAATCCACCCCCTTCCAGTCTCTTGTCCCTGACCTTTTGCCCAGAGGCTGTCAAGAGGCCTCCCTCATACTTCGTGCTGCACCCCTAAACCTGTGGACATTGCCTTTGTATAGAGGGCAAGACCTCTCCTTTACTCTGTCCATCCTTCCTGAACAAGCTACACCTGTCTATGAATTTTATGCCATGTAACCTATCCCACTGTCTCTCTGTCATCCCCCAAACATCCTAAACCTGTGCTTGTCCTGATCCACCCCCCCTGCAATTCTTCCTGTTTTGTCTGCCCACTTCTCACTTTCCGTATACAGGAGACCCTCGCCTTTTGCGGGGGATACTTTCTAGAGATCCCTGCGAATACTGTGCTGCATCATCTGCATTGAAAACTTGTTTAGGCATGTAACCCTTTTCCTCAATGACTTTAAGAAGGTGTAGGGGATAATCCTGCGCTCCTTCATGGTCTGCTGACGCCGATTGTATTTATTTATTAATTTATTGTTCCTCCTCCCCACCCCCCAATCAACTTTTATATTACGTAGACTGTGCCTCTTTTTAATTTCAAGAACCACCCCTTACTTGCAGAGTGCAGTAAGAAAGTGTCATCACGCTGTGTGGGGAGAGAGCGTGGGTTGGCGCAGCACACCGCGAATTTTCAAAACCGTGAATCGCAAATCTGTGCAGGTTTCCTGTATAGATATTTCTGGGGCCTAACGGACTAACCTGTCCTCTTCCTGAGACCATTGTTAAGGCTTCTGCCACTGCTTCCTTCCCTATTTTTCATTTAGGTCCCCTGGTCCGTTATTTCCCTCTGGGCTTTTGTCTCTAGGGTCCAACTTCAAGGGGCTGGGGGTTGTGTGCCATACTGGTTCCAGGCCCTAGCCTGCATGTCATGGTCACTACATGTCATGGGGACCCATGTCATGGATCCTGGGATCCCAGCATGAGTCCCCATTCCATCTTCCCACAAGAAAGCATGAGATCATAGCCCATCAGTTGGAAAGCCCTGCTGTAGCTAATCGCATAGATAACCCACCGAGAGGCTTTTTACAGGAACAGGAGAGAGAACACAAGATCGATGGAAAGGATGGTATTGCAGCCCTGGCTTTGTAAGTATGCTCATGGTACATAAACATGCAGCTGAGACCCAGATTTATGGATGGAGCAAACTCCGTGTGGCATCTTGTCCAGTTCTGCCCCCGTAGCTGATTCTTCTGCCCCTGCAAAGCAGTTTGCTAGGACCCTAAAGAACTTATAGCAGAATACCCCAGTGGAATGACTGAAGTTAGTGCTAGGTATGAAACTACTTAGACTGGGGAAAAGGGTAACTGTACTGTGCTAAGGATAGACCCAAATCCCAGCTGTTCACTAACTAAAAAAGGAATGGAAAATAGAGGTCTGTGTTCTGGATTGGCCAGGTCCCTTGACTGAAGTGTGCTGTCCCTGTTAACAGCAGGGGCTATAGCTTCCAGCTGTGTTACAGCTGATGTCATTGTGGTAGGGACAGCAGATAAACACATGAATGGTGTAGGAGTGGGAAATGGTAATAGGAAAGCTAACCCTGAAGGAAAAAACACCTAATAGAAGTACAGGTTGGAAAATGAGAATACATGGAACAGGCAATGTTTGTAAACTGCAGCTCCTTGAAGTGCCACATCTTGCACTCAAACTTTCTCAGGAAAATAATTGCCTTGATGCATGACTGTCATAAGCTAATGAAGCCTCACTTTGCCTCCTTCCACCTTTGGCCATGGCATGACACTGTGTTACACAATGAGTTGTGATATAACGTAGTGTGAATGCAACACTACAGGGAAGGGAATGTGCCTGGAGAATTTAACACAAGTTAAGAGAGGCAAGGGTTTGTAGGATATACCTTTTATTGGACCAGTTGTATGGTAGACACGTACCCACAATCTTTCAGGCAGCTCGGCTGGCTGAGGTGTCCCGCCAAAATGGTGTGTTCCTCACTCTCACCTTCCCAAAAATCCACTCCCGCCTAAGTAACAGATTGGGTTCTTTAGTTTAGTTATAACTATTTACAGAAAAGAAGAACAAAGATTAATAACAAATATAATACAATTATATACATATATGCATGACAGGTTCAACAACTTCCATTCAAACCCATAACCAAAATATTATCTATAAACCCAACATGAGTGAATAGTCCATACTACAAGTGATCCCACGTACAACTGCCCCATTGATGTATGTCCATTCACAGATTATAGACTTTAACCCTCAGTTCCACTAGGAATTCAGTTCACTCCAATAGAAATAAATGGCTATGAGTGGTCACCAGATGGCAATGCGTGGGACAGTGGGATCCATTCCCAGGAGGTAAGAAGGCAGGAGGCCCCTGCCGGACTCCAGTGCAGCTCATGCTGGGGGCTGACAGGGAGGAGAGCCTGCAACCAGGCCCACAGGTTCAGCATTGAGCCCTAAGGAAGGCCCAAATCCACCGCGCCATCCATGCCCCCCTCACCTTTCTTGTTCCTCAGGTAGACAAGGAGTTCCAGTGCCAGGAAGATCAGCCCCAGCACAAAGCCCCCGACCCCCGTCAGCATCTTGCTCCTGGCTGAGTCTGACTGTGCCTCTGTGGAGACAGGAGCCGGAGGTGAAGGGCTCAGTCTGTGTTCCCACCCCCCCTGCTCACACCCCTGCTGCTGTGGGAAAGGGGTCTGACCATGGACAGCCCTTGTGGGGCTGCACAAAGGGAGACCCGGCCCCTCCAAGATCTCAGGGGCTGCCCCAGGATCCCAGTTCCTTACCCCAGAGCACGGTGACGGGGCCCGGCAGGCTGCTGTGCTCCACCTGGCAGGTGTAGACGTCCCCGCTCCGGGGGGTCATTTCCAGCATCACCAGGATCTGGAAGGTCCAGTCTCCGTTCTGCATCAGCTCCGTGGACACCGCTCCGGCCATCTGCTCCTGCCCGTTCTTCAACCATTTCACCTCGATCCCGCCAGGGTAAAACCCCATCACGGAACAAATCAGTGTGTCTAGGTGGGCTTGGGCTCCTGATTTTGTTGGGGAGGCTTTCACCTTGGGTTTTCCTGTGGGGGTAGGGATGAACATAAAACAGAGGGAGTGAGCTGGGAAAAATTGATCTCTCCCTTGAGGAAAGGCCCTATTTCCCTACCTCCAAGTCTTCTCCACTTCTAACCATTGTCACCCTAGGCAGGATCTCACCAGAAATGTCTCCAATTGGTGTCAAGTTCTGGTCATTCCCAGAGAGAACAGAGACCAGGACTGTTCAACCCCCTGAGTCCAGGGAGCAGTTTTAGCCTTTGGGCAGGGAGATTGTCTCTTTATTTTTTTTAAATTTAAATCTGCTATTTTTACTCTGCTTTCCAATGGTTGAATATTTGCTTCCTGAAAACCAATCTTCATATTTTTTTTAATTCAAAATCCACCAGGACTGATGCTTCCTAAGACTCTGAAATTAAAAGACCAGGATCCTTTGAAGAGCTTAAATAGGGAAAAGGGGCACTAAACCCAGGTGTGCGCACCTCGCAATGTGTGTGCCCTGCTCCTGCCATCTTTGTCAGTGAAGGCAGGTGTGTCTGGGCACAGGCCAGAACAACAGTGAGCAGGGGGCTGTGGTGAGCGTCAGGCTGAGTTATTGCCTGTGCCTCCCAATCTCTGTGCACACAACAAAGGTCCCACGACTCCGGGGACTCACCACTGTGGCCAAACACATGGCCTTGCTAAGACACCCCATAGTTTTGTTGGCAGACCCTGTCCACTGCACCCTGGCTGGGAGTCCTTCAGCCCCAAACCCCTCTTTTCTGCCTCCTGTCTGATCAATGAGAATGAGTTGAGATAGACTGAAGGAGCCAGCCCTTCAGTCCCAAGTGCCTTGGGTCCACCTGGCTCTCTCAGGCCCTTCCAGCTCTTAGCAGGGGAGTTTTTGCCAGCTTAGGGAATCCCACCCATTATCTAATTTTTCCAAGAAAGGATAGACCCCCCCCCCCCCTTTCCAAGAACAGAGGAAGCCAGATTTTTTTGGCTCCAGGCAGGGGTAGAAAATGGCCTGAGTTAGCACTTGAGGGGGTGCACACTCCGAGGACATTTTTGAGGGGCTCAGGGGCTGCCCCAGGCTCTCAGTCTCTTACCCAACAAGAGGGTCCAGCAGCCTGAAGAGGGAGGCATCAGCAAGAATCTACCCTAAATGGAAGGCATCACATGTTCTAACAGGTTTTATCTGGGGAAAGATTGAATGCATTGTAAACTGTTTAATCCACAAGATACTGGAGATGTCACTGTAGAAGGAGGTCAAAAGAGTGAGACTGCAAAAGCTGGTGAAGGTTTAGACTGTGGATTTGTCAGGGATGGTTTGAACAGGGATGATCCTGCCTCAGGCAGGGGGCTGAATAAGATGTGACCTCTGGAGGTCTCTTCCAGCCCTCCTCCTGTTTGATTTCTCAGTGACTACCTAGTGCAGTAGATGACCCATCAGAAGCCTCACTGTCAATGGACAGGGCTAGTTCTGGTCACAGGTAACAGGACCTTCTCCATCTGCTGGACTAGGAACTTAGAGCAGTGATTCCCCACCAGGGTGCTGTGAGATCCTCTCAGGGGTGAGTCAAAGTGCCACACAACACTAGTGCTATTAGGTGGCGAATGTGATTGGCAAAGTAAACCCTGAGCTTTTTCATCAGGATTCATAGTGCTAAGAACAGTCTGGCCTGTTGCATCTTTCTTATGCCTTTGCACCAGAAAATTTGCTCTGTTATTTTCTGCATTCAAAAACCCTGCAAATTAAGGGCTACCACTTTTTGAGGGCAGCCTGGAGTCTATTGAAGAAGCCTCAAGTCTGAGATGGTTGAGAGCCACCAACTTGGAGAAAATGAAGCAGCCATGACTCTAGCATTCAAAAGAAGCTCAATTTTAAATTTACCATGAAATGTAGCTTCGTCAGGGCCTAAACTCGGCATGCTGTTGCTTTGTTAAGTGATTGTAAAGCATGGAAAAGTAATTGGACCAGGGGTCACAAAATAATACCACTGGATAGGACTTTTAAAACTCACAACAGGAAGTTGTTTTTCACGCCGCATGCAATTGAAGGACAGAACTCCTTGTCACCGGATGTGGTGAAAGCTGCGAGTTCAGCCAGGGTCACAAAGGGTTTGGACACATCCTTGGAGGAGAGGGGCATCAGTCACTATGGAGCACAAGAGCGAGGGGCACAGCTGCTGGGTCGGAGCTTTCTAGACCTAAAAAGCTGGAGGCTGCAGGTGGGAGAGGAACAGGGGGAAAACCAACCACCCCTTCTCAGCACTCACTCTCCACCCTGAGACTGGGCAGGACGACCTGGTCTCACCCAGGGCACGGTGATCGTGTTCTTATGAGTTGGGACTCAACTGCATGGCCGTGGTAAGGCAAGCGACTGGGGATCTGCATTGGGCCGGGCACCTTTCCCTGTGGTGTCTGCGGGCCAAGGCCTGCTCCAAGCTCACGCTTGCCGGTGGATGGGGGCTGAGGAAGTTGTGCAATGGGCTGGACGAGGGACCTGGCAGTATGTGCCTCGGCTTTGCCACCAGGACCCGGCTTGGCTCCTGAGCCTCTTTTCCACCCGGAGTCACAGGGAACGAGAAGGGGCGTCCAGCCAGCGCTCGCCGTCTTCCTGCACCAGGGCTAGCAGGCCGCTGCCACCATCACCGCGGGGGGTTGATGGACATCTTGGCACACCGGCTGTGCTGGAAATACCCGCTCCTTTGCAGTGGCCCCGAGGCACGAGGGCCCGGCCCCGCTCCCTTGGGGTTCACGTGGCGGCTGCGGGGACACGTGGGGCAGTGGACAGCTCCATGCTGAAAGAGGCGGCACGGACTGCCCACCTCGGAGCTGCAGCTGCGGTGGATCTGTTCCCTGACAGCAAAGCCCCCCCAGCACCATTCAGATGCATCGTATAACCGTAAATCCCGACCCTGGGCGAAAGCCTCTGGGCCGCTTCCTTCCGCTGCAGACCGTGCAGCTTGACAAAGCCCCAGGAGGGCCATAGAGCCACCTCTTGGCCGCACTGGGGTTTTCTGGCCTTCCGCAGCCGCCGTCTCCACCCTCCTGACCGAAACTGCAAATGTCCTGGGCGCCGCCATGTTGTTGTACGGACTAGGAAAAGCGCATGCGCAGCACATTTGGGCAGCCAACGGAGCTGCCCGGAGGTGCGGGTGCGCACATGCGCGCTGAGTCGCTGCCAATCCGATGCCATTTTAGCAGCCCGCGGCGGAGCGGCGCGCGGACGGTGCTATTAATGGCTTGTCTCGTGGAGGCCGCCATCTTCTGCGGAAGCGGAGCAGACGCAGAGCACGTACCCCCCGCCCTGCGGGAATGGTATTGGTCAGACCCCCGCAGTGGCGCGCGCCCCCTCCTACAACGGAGCGAAACGCCCTCCCCCTCCGCCCCCGCGCGGGAAGGTGGTTGGGTCCAGGTCATGCCCTGCCCGCGCCTCTTAAACGATGGGCGGGGGAAGCTAGAGTGCGGCATCCTGATTGGTCGAGTGGTGTCACGTGGGCAGTGAGGTCATGTGGCTAGCGACACCGGGAAGTACTCTCCTCGCGGGAAAATGGCGGCGCCCCGGGGGTCGGGGGGGCGGCCGGTTTGCACCTCCCGCTGTCGCGGGGCGGCGGCGGCGGCGGGGGGGCGGATGGGCGGGAGCCACCCG